TGAGGAGCTTGACGAATCAGTCTATAGAGATGGCATTAATAGACTGGAACACCGCTATGAGAAATGTATCAGCCTTGGAGGAGATTATGTTGAGAAATAAAAAAAAAAAATTTTTAAAAACCTTGTTTTTCTTGGTCAGGCCGGAAACTTATCAATCCACCCTCGTATGACATTCCGCCTTCAGAATGACTCTTTTTCCATCATAATGTCTCTTGTATCGTTTTCGAGATTCATTTCCCCTTATTAATTCGGTAAAAGTATTATCAGTTGCTGACTTAATTTGTTATTGGTATCTCCAACATTTTTTAATATCGTCATTTTCAAATGCTTGACAATAATTGTTACGCCTTAAATTCTGAATGATCTTCAGTATATACATTAATTTATGAAAAAATTGATGTTACATAGATTCGCGAAAGAACACATGATTAGGAATCGCTCTACAACCATACTTTCTTATTTAATATACATCAGTTTAATGTTTAATGTTATTGCTAAATATGTTTCTAATTTTATGTAGGATTCCCAGAATATGAAAAGCATAAATAAGGCGGTATTCCTGGACTGGCAATGTTCAAGACTATCGTCACCAGTTGTTGATTTGTGTTATTTTCTCTACTGCAATGCTCCTCAGGAGGTGTTTGACAATTTAGATTGTTATTTGAAACTATACCACGATAGTTTATCATTAGCTTTAACGGAAATGGGTACTGATGTACAAAAAGTTTTCTCATTCAATGACCTTCAAAATCACTGGAAATTATATTCTAAGTTTGGCCTTGTAATGGCAGCCTCGCTATTGAATATGTACTACAATCCGATTCATAATGAAGCGCTAGATATGGAACAAATAGGAAGCAATAAGGATGATTTAACGAAATCCTTTGTAAATTCGGATATTGTGAAAAACGAAATCTTCAAGGAACGAATGAGAGGTATTATTGTACATTTTGTAAATAATGGATTTATTTAAGCTCTCATTGATTCTATGTAAGAAACGAATTAGAAATTATTATAAAAATAAATCTCGTCTTTTTTTAATTTTGTTAAATTGTTAGTAAAAGAATTATGGTAAAGGTCTAGATGATGGCCCCCACCCCCTTCGGGGCTGGGGGTGGGAGGGATCGAAAGAGGAG